TCTGAGTCTTGGGTCATTGATTCAGGTGCATCAGATCATATTTCTGGTAACAAATCTCTTTTCACTACTATTTCGTATTCTCAATCTCTTCCAAAAGTCACAATGGCCAATGGGTCTCAAACCATGGCAACTGCAATAGGTCAAGCAAGCCCACTTCCTTCCTTACCTTTAGATTCAGTCCTTTATGTTCCCAATAGTCCTTTTAATCTCATAGCTGTTAGTCGCTTAGCCAAATCACTTAAATGCGCTGTTTTATTTCTTGATGACCATGTTTTTATACAGGAACGCAGTACGGGGCGGATCATTGGTACCGGGCGTGAATCAAACGGACTTTATTACCTTATCCTTGCTAAATCACATGGACTCACATCTTGTCTTCCTTCTACAACTTGTCCTGTTACTGATTCACCAGATTTATTACATAAACGGTTGGGACATCCCAGTTTGTCAAAACTTCAGAAAATGGTATCTGGTTTATCTCACTTGTCAGCTCTAGAGTGTGAGTCATGTCAGCTCGGTAAGCATACTCGCTCCCATTTCCCTCGGCGTCTTGATAATCGAGCAGAGTCACCTTTTACTTTAGTCCGTTCAGATGTTTGGGATCCTAGTCGGGTCAGTTCCACCTTGGGATTCCGCTACTTTGTCAGTTTCATTGATGATTATTCCAAGTGCACTTGAATATTTTTGATAAAAAATCGATCTGAACTGTTTTCTATTTTCCAGACCTTCCACGCTGAAATTCAAAATCAATTTGGGGTTTCTATTTGCACATTTCGTAGTGATAATGCCCAAGAGTATTTGTCTTCCCCATTTCAGCAGTTTATGAAATCTCATGGATTATTTATCAAACATCTTGTCCATACACATCTCAACAAAATGGGGTAGCTGAAAGAAAGAATAGACATCTTATTGAAACTGATGTACCATACTCATACAATCTCATGCTCCGTTGCGTTTTTTAGGGGATGCAGTTCTTACATCTTGCTATCTTATTAATCGTATGCCATCTTCAGCTATCCAGAACCAAGTTCCATTCTCTGTCATGTTTCCACACTTACCTTTGTTCTCTCTTCCACCTCGTATCTTTGGAAGCACTTGTTTTGTCCATAACCTTATTCCAGGAACAGATAAGTTAGCTCCTCGTGCTTATTTCTGGGTTTCTCGAGAACACAAAAAGGGTATCGATGCCCTGACCTCCAGCGGTACCTTATGTCCGCTGATGTTACCTTCTTTGAAACCCAATCATACTTCACAGGTTCAGGTCATCACTTAGATATTTCTGAGGTACTACCAGTTTCATCTTTTGGAGATTCAGTCACTCCAACTCCACCACCTACAGCTCCAGTTGTAGCTCCACCACCTATAGCTCCAGTTCCACCACCTACAGCTCCAGTTGTAGCTCCACCACCTATAGCTCCAGTTCCTCCACATAATTCAGTTCAACCTTTTGCAGCTCCACCACTCTTGACTTATCATCGTCGTCCACATCCAGCATCAGGCCCAAACAATTGCTCAAGGCACTTCCAGACTAAGGATCTGGGCATATTGAAGTATTTTCTAGGTATTGAGGTCGCTCAATCTAGCTCGGGTATTGTTATTTCACAGCGAAAGTATGCCTTAGACATTCTTGAGGAGACTGGAATGATGGGTTGCAGACCTATTGACTCTCCTATGAATCCGAATGCTAAGCTTCTACCTGGACAGGGGGAGCCTCTTAGAGACCCTACGAGATATAGGAGGTTGGTTGGCAAATTGAATTACCTCACAGTCACTAGACGTGACATTTCTTTTCCGGTGAGTGTTGTAAGTCAGCCTATGGATTCTCCCTGTGATAGTCTATCACAGGGATGCAGTTGTTCGCATTCTTCGGTATATAAAGTCAGCTCCAAGCAAAGGATTACTATTCGAGGATCAAGGCCACGAGGAGATTGTTGGGTACACAGATGTTGATTGGGCAGGATCACCCTTTGATAGACGTTCTACGTCTGGATATTGTGTTCTAGTAGGAGGTAACTTGGTCTGGTGGAAGAGCAAGAAACAGAATGTAGTTGCTCGATCTAGCGCCGAAGTCGAATATCGGGCCATGGCTATGGCGACGTGTGAGTTAGTTTGGGTCAAGCAGTTGCTCAAGGAGTTAAAGTTCGGAGAAATCAGCAAGATGGAACTAGTGTGATAACCAAGCTGCTCTTCATATTGCGTCAAATCCGGTGTTCCATGAAAGGACTAAACACATTGAGATCGACTGTCACTTTGTCAGAGAAAAAATACTTTCAGGAGATATTGTTACAAAGTTTATAAAGTCGAATGATCAACTAGCAGATATTTTCACTAAGTCTCTTACTGGTTCTCGTATTAGCTACATGTGTAACAAGCTCGGTACATATGATGTGTATGCACCGGCTTGAGGGAGAGTGTTAGTTTACAGATATGTATAGTTCTTGTCCCACATTAGAAGAGGAGTAATATCTTTTTGTAGTGTATAGCTATAAATAGGGACCTCTTGTATTGTATTTATTATCTAATATTAATAATATATTTTCTCTCGTGCTTTCTCACATCTTCTTTGTCCTCGATTTACATCCTTAAGTCTACAGGTGAAGCGTTGTCTCATCCAGGATGGCGACAGGCTATGAGTGACGAGATGTCTGCTTTACATACAAGTGGTACTTGGGAGCTTGTTCCTCTTCATTCAGGTAAATCTACTGTTGGTTATCGTTGGGCTTATGCAGTCAAAGTTGGTCCCGATGGCCAGGTTGATTGACTTAAGGCCCGTCTTGTTGCCAAAGGCTATACTCAAATATTTGGGCTCGATTATAGTGATACCTTCTCTCCCGTGGCTAAAGTCGCATCAATCCGCATTTTTTTATCCATGGATGCGGTTCGTCATTGGCCTCTCTATCAGCTGGACATTAAGAATGTCTTTCTTCACGGTGATCTTGAGGATGGGGTTTATATGGAGCAACCACCTGGTTTTGTTGCTCAGGAGGAGTCTCGTAACCTTGTATGTCGTCTGCGTCGGTCACCTTATGGTCTAAAGCAGTCTCCTCGAGCCTGGTTTGGTAAGTTCAGCACGGTTATCTAGGAGTTTGACATGACTCGTAGTGAAGCTGATCACTCTGTGTTCTATTGGCACTCTGCTTCAAGTCTCTGTATTTATCTCGTAATCTATGTTGATGATATTGTTATTACTGGCAATGATCAGGATGGTATTACCAATCTGAAGCAGCATCTTTTCCAACACTTCCAAACTAAGGATTTAGGCAGATTGAAGTACTTTTTAGGTATTGAGGTTGCTCAATCTAGCTCAGGTATTGTTATTTCTCAAAGAAAATATGCTTTAGACATTCTTGAGGAGACATGGATGATAGGTTGCAGACCTGTTGACACTCCGATGGATTCGAATTCCAAACTTATTCCAGGGCAGGGGGAGCCGCTTAGCGATCCTGCAAGCTATAGGCGGCTGGTTGGTAAATTAAATTATCTCACAGTGACTAGACCCGATATTTCTTATCCTGTGAGTGTTACAAGTCAGTTTATGAATTCTCCTTGTGATAGTCATTGGGATGTAGTTGTCCGCATTATTCGGTATATAAAATCGGCTCCAGACAAAGGGTTATTGTTTGAGGATCGAGGTCATGAGCAGATCGTTGGATACTCAGATGCTGATTGGGCAGGATCACCTTCTGATAGACGTTCTACGTCTGGATATTGTGTTTTACTAGGAGGAAATTTGGTGTCTTGGAAGAGCAAGAAACAGAATGTAGTTGCTCGGTCTAGTGCGGAAGCAGAATATCGAGCAATGGCTATGGCAACATGTGAGTTAGTCTGGACCAAACAATTGCTCAAGGAGTTGAAATTTGGTAAAATCAGTTGGATGGAACTTGTGTGCGATAATCAAGCTGCCCTTCATATTGCATCAAATCCGGTGTTCCATGAGAGAACTAAACACATTGAGATTGATTATCACTTCGTCAGAGAAAAGATACTTTTAGGAGAAATTGCTACAAAGTTTGTGAGTTCGAATGATCAGCTTGCAGATATTTTCACCAAGTCTCTCACTGGTCCTCGTATTGGTTATATATGTAACAAGCTCGGTACATATGATTTGTATGCACCGGCTTGAGGGCGAGTGTTAGTTTACAGATATGTATAGTGTAGTCTTGTCCCACATTGGAAGAGGAGTAATATGTCCTTGTAGTGTATAGCTATAAATGCCTCTTGTATTATATTCATTATCCAATATCAATAACATATTTTCTCCCGTGCTTTCTCACAATAACAATCATTATTCAGACACCTATGCATCTAAAATCTCTTAACACAGGTCCATAGTCACAGTCAAGTAAAATTCCCACAACCAATTTGGTTCATTATCTATCGCTATTCTTTTGGCAGATTTCCAACACTATAAAGAACCACGATCTCAAATCCATTCTATGTTCCTTCATCAAACCGCAGTCTGCACATGGTTGATTAGTTAGATGCATCTTCTTATTGTCTTTCCTCTCTCTTTCAGTGAGGAGAGAATGTCCCCATATTTCAACTGTAATAAAATATTATTTTTTTTCCTTTTTCAATTAATATACTCCATATCCCCCCATCCAAGAATATTTAGTTCTATAGAGTTACTCTTTCTGGTGTTTGATCTTGAACATAGAATTTGAGGAAAATGTGAAGGGAGAGGAGGAGGAGGAGGAGGAGACTAAATGCAGGCTCAGTTTGATGTCTTTTCTCATGATTCATTGGATGTCTTTATTTCTGTAGCTAGGGAAGGTGCTAAGTCACTCTCGATTTTGCTTCGATTGTTCTTTCAGTCATCCATTGCTTACTGTTGTAAGAAATTTTAAAAAATTGAGTTTCCTATTATGCGTAATTCACCTTACCATGTTTTGTTTTCTTCAATTGCAGAAATGTGATATATCACCACCAAGATATTTCACCTTCTACTCTTAGGGAGAAGAGTGACAAGAACATCAATGCAAAAGCACTAACTTCAGACTATCTTCACAAACAAGCTATCCTTTACAAGGAGGAATCGAAATGTATGAATTTTTTTTAAAAAGATCACCATTCATAAGGAGAGAACATAAAGGACTGGTACCAAATACCTTCACTCTGTTGAGAAGACTTCTCCAATAGAGATTGAAGCCTTCATATGATATTGGAAATAAAATGTGTATTATAAGAAGCAGAAGAGTGACACCCTGCAGAAGACAGTTAAAAAGAAAATGTTAGTGAGCCCAGGAAGAATAAGGTAGTCTACCCAACTAAATAATCGCTGGTGCTAATGTTTCTGCATTTGGTACGAGTCTCCTTACGGCCTAATAAATGACCAGAGAAGTTCCTTTTCTGAAGCTACCTAGCTAACTACATATGTGTGATAGTAATGTTTATGCATCCAGAGTAGGCCCCTATTATTCAGTGGACCAAAGAATTTTCCTCTTTTAAAGCTACCTAGTAAAGAATTAGAACAAGAAATCCTCAACGCAAAGTAAGAATTGTCCTTATTTATCGTGTAATAATAATGCAGCCATGGCTTTAAGAATGAAATGGAAGTCCTAGTTTCCTTATTCAAGCTTCCTATAAACAATAACAACTATGCTTTAATTCCAAGTAAGTTGGGGTCGGCTATATGAATTCTCACGATCCATATCGCACCATTTAAGCTCGTGTCACAATAATAATAACAACAACAATAACAATAACAATAGCAATAACAATAACAATAACAAAAAGTAACAATAACAATTAACAATTATAAGCTTCTTTTGTACTAGAAGTTCTCCACATTTTCTACTGGCATAAAAATCTTATGAAAAAAACTAAAGGACTCATAGCAAACGTTGGACCTAAAGTAGATGTCCTAACATGACTTAAATTAACACCAACTAATTGATAGTGCATTCATAGATCTTTTGTCTTCCATTATGCCCAACTTTTCGCTAGGTCTGCATGAACACCAAGAGGTTTAGGTTTTTTTCTTCCATGTGATTTTAGGTTTACCACATCTCCTTCTAACACCTTCATTCACTAGATGGTTATACACCTACGGACTGATGCATCTAAAGGTCGACGTAGGACATGTTCAAGTTATCTCAAGCAACTTCTTTTGATTTATCCTTTATGATGCTACTTGCACCTTTTGCCAAATATGATCATTTTTAATCTTGTCTAATCTTGTACGATTATCTTCTTTATCAATAAAACTTTATTAACGTATGACTACACATTAATCTTAACAACCACTTATCTGTGACATTCATCTTGTGGATATGATGGACTTTAGAGGGCCAACATTCACTGTCATAAAACATTGTTGGTCTTATAACCGTTTTATAGAGTTGCCTTTTACTTTGGTAGGTATCATTCTATCACGTAACACTCTGTTAGCACTTCTTTGTTTCAACTATCTGATTTTGATTCTGTGTAACATCTTCATCTGTCAGTTGATTATGTGTAACATCTTCATCTGTCATACCATTTAATCGAGCCTAGGTATCTAAATTGTTTGCATTTAAGCACCGCAATCCCGACTAATCTTATCTTAGCTTCACACTTCTTATGCTAGCTAAATTTGCAGTGCATAAATTTAATCTTATTTCTACTTATTATAAAACCCTTACTTCCTAATGTATTTCTCCAAAGTTCAAGCTTTTGGTTGACTTCCTCTTTAATTTCGTCAATTAGTACAATACTGTTAGTTATGTGTAGTCCCACATTGGAATGGGAGTAATATGTACTTTGAAGACTATAGCTATAAATAGGACCTCTTGTATTATATTGAGTTTCTAATATCAATAATATATTTTTCTCCCGTGCTTTCACACATGGTATCAGAGCATTAGTGAAAAAAGATCGTTGTACGTAATTCCAGCATTAACGGGGAAGAAAGAACTTAGTCATCATGCAATTTTTTCGGTGACCTAAGGCATGTCTACGTGAAAGTCACTTTCTATCGGTGTTGTGTTAAAACCAACACCACCACGAGTTAGATCCTCCGACGACCAACCCCTGAAAATTTATCCGGCAGAAAAGTTGTCACGCGCCTCCACGCGTCGGCAACAACAACTTTTCCGGCGAGGGTTACGGCCACTTTCCGGCCATCTTTTCGCGAAACTTCTTCAGGACAGTCTGTTCTCCTCACAATTCCGAGCCTATCCATCTAATTCAAATCAAATTCCGACCACTTTTATATTTTTCCGGTGTGAACAGTGACCTTTCCGGCCATTTTTTGAAAACATTTCTTCAGGGCAGCTTGCTCGCAAGGGAATTCCGAGTCTATCTATCCTGGTTACGACAAATTCCGACAACTTTACAATTTTCCGGCGAGCTACAATGTTTTCCGGTGTGAACAATGTTTACGACGTAAAATAGCTTTTGTTTTCTGTTGTAAGCCTGTAACCAGTGTTTTCTCATCTATTTTTTCAGTTTTTCCACAGGAGTTATTTATTTCCACTATTTCAAGTTAACCCTACTACTACAAATTGTAGCGACATGGGAACTGATACTTTGAATAGTCGGATGGTTTCTTTAGCAAATTATATTGAGTTCCTTCAGTACAAAGCATGTAAGCAGACATCTTATGAGATAGCTTCTGTTGTTCAAACAGGTAATAGCGTGACTTATTTCTCCCAATCTTCATCCTCTGAGTCTTGGGTCATTGATTCAGGTGCATCAGATCATATTTCTGGAAACAAATGTCTTTTCACTACTATTTCGTATTCTCAATCTCTTTCAAGAGTCACAATGGCCAATGGGTCTCAAATCATGGCAACTGCAATAGGTCAAACAAGCTCACTTCCTTCCTTACCTTTAGATTCGGTCCTTTATGTTCCCAATAGTCCTTTTAATCTCATAGTTATTAGTCACTTAGCCAAATCACTTTAATGCGTTGTTTTATTTTTTGATGACCATGTTTTTATACAGGAACGCAGTACGGGACAGATCATTGGTACACGGTGTGAATCAAACGGACTTTATTACCGTATCCTTGCTAAATCACATGGACTCACATCTTGTCTTCCTTCAACAACTTGTCATGTTACTGATTCACCAGATTTATTACATAAACGGTTGGGACATCCCAATTTGTCAAAACTTCAGAAAATGGTATCTGGTTTATCTCACTTGTTAGCTCTAGAGTGTGAGTCATGTCAGCTCGTTAAGCATACTCGCTCCCATTTCCCTCTGCGTCTTGATAATCGAGCAANTCCAGATGCACTTGGATATTTTTGATAAAAAATCGATCTGAGCTGTTTTCTATTTTCCAGACCTCTCACGCTGAAAGTCAAAATCAATTTGGGGTTTCTATTCGCACATTTCGTAGTGATAATGCCCGAGAGTATTTGTCTTCCCCATTTCAGCAGTTTATGAAATCTCATGGGATTATTCATCAAACATCTTGTCCGTACACATCTCAACAAAATAGGGCAGCTAAAAGAAAGAATAGAAATCTTATTGAAACTGCTCGTATCCTACTCGTACAATCTCATGCTCCGTTGCGTTTTTGGGGGATGCAGTTCTTACATTTTGCTATCTTATTAATCGTATGCTATCTACAGCTATCCAGAACCAAGTTCCATTTTGTGTCATGTTTCCCAACTTACCTTTGTTCTCTCTTCCACCCCGTACAGCTATAAATAGGACCTCTTGTATTATATTGAGTATCTAATATCAATAATATATTTTTCTCCCGTGCTTTCTCACATTAATCTTAACAAGCACTTACTGTGACATTCATCTTGTGGATATGATGGACTTTAGAGGGCCAACATTCACTGTCATAAAACATTGTTGGTCTTATAACCGTTTTATAGAGTTGCCCTTTACTTTGGTAGGTATCCTTCTATCACGTAACACTCTGTTAGCACTTCTTTATTTCAACTATCTTATTTTGATTCTGTGTAACATCTTCATCTGCCATACCATTTAGTCGAGCCTAGGTATCTGAATTGTTTGCATTTAATCACCGCATTCCTGACTAATCTCATCTCAGCTTCACACTTCTTATGCTAGCTAAACTTGCAATGCATAAATGTAGTCTTACTTCTACTTATTCTAAAACCCTTACTTTCTAATGTGTTTCTCCATAGTCCAAGCTTTTGGTTGACATCCTCTTTAATTTCGTCAATTAGTACAATACCATTTGCAAACATTATAAATCATGGGACCTCATCCAGTATAGTGTTAGTTAGTTAGTTAATCAAAATATAGGATAGTACAGGCTCAGTGCCGATCCAGAGATCCTTAGTTCTTTTGTATCTCCTAATATTATTCTCATACTAGTGGCATCTCCTTCATACATATCCTTTATGGCATTTTATATATTCAATATGAGTTCCCTTTTTGTCTAACATCCACCGAATGACTTTTCTAGGCACTCAATCATATGCTTTCTTTGGGTCAATGAACACCATGTATAGATTTTTCTTCCTCTAGCGATAAACTTACATTAATCTTCAAAAATATAGCTTCCATTGTAGATCTACCACGCATTAATCCAAACTGGTTCTTTTTCACTCTTGTAGTATCCCTAAGTCTACACTCTTTCTCTCTTTCCCAAAGTTCATTGTATGGCCCATAAATTCAATGCCACGCACAGTTTTGAATATCTCTTCTGCTCTTATATATTGGAATCAGGATACTCTCTCCCCACTCGCCGGGTATCCTACCATTTCTTGGTATAGCATTAAATAGTTTGGCCAGCCAAACTACTCCAACCTCCCCAAGACACTTCTAAACCTCTACAAGAATACTATCTGGACCAAACGGCTTTTCTAATCCTCAAATTTTCATGGTATCCTTTAATTCTGCCTGTCTAATTCTAGGAATGTAGATAGAATTTCTACCATGCATAGTTGTGTAGATCTATAGAGTTATCCTCGTGATTCGACTTGAACAATTGATAAAAATAGCGTCTCCAGCTCCCCTTGATATCATTATTTCCTGTCAACACTTGTGGAGAATTCGATGGACCGTCTTTAATGTGCTTCATCTAGGTTTCTAAAGAAAGTTAATTTAAGTTTCCTTGCAGAAGCACATGCATCAGTCCTGAACCCTGGGAGGAAACAATCTCCTAAGGCTCATCGAAATAACCAAACTTGAAGATAGCCTAAATCAATAAAATTCACAGTAAACTAGGCAAAATCCGGAACCATTGACGGTTCTGCGTAAAACATTTGCCTCTTCACATATTAAAGACTCATCAATTTAACAAACAAACCAGCCACTTACCTCAAATATAAGGGACTCGGCACCAGTCAAAAATGGCAGCTCTCCTAGATAGTAATAGTCTCTGTTATTGCAAGACTCAGCTAAATGCTTGGAACACCACAATGGTTTCTGCGAAAAATGTACAGGAAATCAATGAAACTATAATTGCCAGTTCTAAATTCAAAGAACTAGTAGGAATTATGAAGTCAATTTAACATGCAGAAAAAATACAAAGGACTGAAGCTGGAATAGACAGCAAGGGAACTGTGCAAACCTCAAAGAAGTTTAGAACGACCAGTGCGAGATAATTAAGTGACCAGAGGAAGTCAAAACGAGTAAATATGAAGTACAACTCTGCTGCTTTCTCAAAGCTCGCTCCCTCAAGAATTTCCTCAGGCAGACCAATGCCATCTTCAGCCTGCACGAATAACTTCCAGAATTAATATCTCACTAAACCACTACTAAAAGGAAAACACTGAAATTTATCAGTCAAATAACTATTTCACCATTTTCACAAAAATAAATAAATTAATTAATATTTCACCATTACACATCACAAAACATTACTCTCAATGCTTTTCTATTAAGTAACTCAATATGGCAATATATTAAAACATTTTATTGCTAATAACCGTGCAGGTCAATCGAGGCCTATTCTATAAACCAGGGAGTATTTTTTTGGACGCAAACATCTAGGACATTCAGCTAGCATCTTTCAGTACAAAGGCTTTCTCAAAGTGTCTGCTTTAAGTTCTTTCTGGAAAAAGAAAATTGTGCATAAAAAAGGCAAAAGAAAATACAGTACAAGAAGAGTTATTTCCTTGGGAAAAGTGAAAAGTTCTCAATAAAACCTGCCTCAATTTCGTAGGTTGGACGTGGAATTCTTGACCAAAAAAATGACCTTCATTTTCAGAAGAATGGGACCAAAAAGAAAAAGATCAGCCTGAAAACATTTGGGCGCACCCAAAAATGTAGCCTAGTGGTCAATGAATTGTGTTGAGAACCATGAAATCTCATTCTAATAGAGGCAAAAATAGTAGGTGACTTCTTCTCATTTGTTCAAGCCTCGGTGGACAGAGTTACCTCAATACCTAATACTTATGTTGTAGGACGTAGCAAGTATCTGTGGAATTAGTCGAGGTATGAGCAAGCCGACCCGTACATCAATTAGAAAAAAAAAACATCTGGAAGGCGCACACTTCTGTGGTGAAGTCACTAAGTTCCTCAATGTCTTCTCTTTTTCTTGTCGTCTCAAACTGTATACGACACGAAAAATAGAAAGATGATGAAGCCCAGAATTTTCACACTCTTGGAGTCTTTAATATTTCCTGAATTCTAATTAATTTCCTTGCAATTGCAGACACCAACTAGTGTGCTTCATCTCAGATCAGATTGACCGAAAATTCGCATTTTTCTGGCATGATGGTGTTAATTTTATCTTGAATAACATGACCCCCATTTTACCATTCTAAGCATCTGATTTCAAAATTCGAATCTTTCAACTACCCAAATACTACAGTACCCACATTACAAATCCACTATTTGTTTGCTGCCAACCTACTAAGATCTCTACTTCAGGGGAAGCATTATTAACAAAGAAAGGGATCATTCAGTTCAAAAGTGAAACTCAACAGACAATAAGCATTGAAGTGAGGCTAATTACAGAAAAGAAAACAGCAAAAAGGGCGGGACGTACAAGATCAACCAAAGCAGCAGCCTTTTGATAAGCTGATCCATGAGCAATAGCGTCTCTGCGATCAAATATCGAACCGATCCTCCTCCGAGTCCGACCCGAATTACTACTCTCCCCTGACAGTAGATATTCTTCCATAGCTTTTTAACTTCCAAGTTCCAACTTGAAACAATGAGAAGACAACAGGACAAGAATGAGTATATTATATATGCAGGAAAGAAAAAGGATCGTTGATATCAGTTAAGATTTACATACAGTAGTTGGGAGAGAATTCCAAAAAGAATTTATGTGGATGTTGAGTAGTTTTAGTCAATGTCAAGAAAACTACTAAAATGAGACCCACCTACGTGTGAAGGGGTGACATAAAATCGTGGCATAAGATGATAAACATTGGAAAATAGTAAGGCACTACTACTACTTGCAAAAATATTAAGAGGTCAAGCTTCATGTTATGTACGGATAACTAACTATTGATATTCCCGGAATAGGGTAATTAAGGTAAGTTCAAAAATTTCAGAAAAACTCCATATTACAGTAATATGATGTGACTTCTGTCCAATTGAATCTTTCTTATAAGCTATGTAAAAAAGACAGTAACCGAAAATATGCAGCATTCAAGACTATAGTCTAACGCTAAATCAGTTATTAAGAGTTATCAAAATGTATAAAAATAAATATAAAAAAAAAATCAAAAAAAATCAACGTATATTATATATACATATAATTTGCTTTACATATCTACGCAGTGTATGTGTCCCGTGAAAGCTTTAAGGTGGCTACACAATGATTGAAAATCATAAAAAAGTATTGATAAAATTTCTATGAAAGTAAAATGTAAGGCGAGGTGTAGCAATAGCTACTTTTAAGCCCGCTATTTAAAATATATTTACAATTTACAATGTATTTAAATATTAGTCAATTCACCCAAACTTCAGGACTAAGTATCTTGAATTTGAAAATTTACGACTAAGTATCTTGAATTTGAAAATTCAGGACTTAGGACCCGTTTGACCATAAATTTTGCCAAAATAAATTTGGGTTTTATTTGGCAAACACATGTTTGGTCATAGATTTTGCCTATATTTTGGCCAAATCCCAAAACCAATTCAATAGCTGATTTTGGGCCAAAATATCACTATTATATTTTTTTAAAAATTGCCCCAAACTTTTGTATTTTATAAAAGAGCCCACCATTTATTATTTTGTAACAATGTTGCTTTGTCTTCTCGGTCACATGATAGTGTATCATGTAATTCATAATAAAAATGATAATTTTGTATCAAATTTATTTATGTTCAAGACTATGGTTTGCGATAATATAATGAATGTTATTGATAATGGTACTGTCGGGTATTTGTGATAGTTTTTAGAATTTGTGGGTATAAGTCATGTTTCATATTTTTTCAAAATAAATTTGAAAAATATGTTTTGAAAACTGATGTCCAAACACATTTTCATCTTCAAACCAAACTTCACCACTCAAATCAGATTTTTCAGAATAAATTTGAGAATGTATGGTCAAACGCTAGCTTAGTGTCCTGGATTTTTGAGTTGCTAATTTAAAATCCAGGACAAAATGTCCTGAATTTTGAACCACTAATTTAAAATTCAGGACACAATTTTCGAACGTTAGGACACGATGTCCTGAATTTCTGAACTATTAATTTAAAATTCAAGACATAAAATTCGAACTTCAGGATACAATTTTCGAACTTTAGGAAACGATACCCTCAAATTTGAATTTTGAGGTTTAAACTCTAGAACTTCATGTCATGAAATTTGAACGAAATTGTCTAATCTTTAAATATATTGTAAACTGTGAATATATTTTAAATATCATGCTTAAAAGTGGTTACCTGATGTCATTTTCACTAAAATGTATATTAGTTTGTGATTCCTATGAAATTAAAATGTATTAGTTTGTGATTTCTTTTTATTTACCTAAATTTTGCTAGGCAGCAAAAAAAGTTGTTATCATGTGATCAGGAAGTTACGGGTTCGAGCCGTGAAAACAGATTCTTGCAGAAATATAGTGTAAGGCTGCGTACGATAGACTCTTATGGTCCGGCCCCTGTCTGGATCCCGCGTATAACGAAAACTTAGTGTACCAAGCTGCCCTTTTAGTTATATGGGAATAAATAAAAAAACGTTGAAAGAAGAAGACGTGCATCAGCTATCCAACGTGGGATAGTCAGGAATTATGATCGGATCAGTAAGATAGCAACAATGTTAATGTAAACTAATCCATTATAACGATCCATCTAATCTTAATCCCCCACCCACCCCTTTGTTTTTCTTTGGTATAATTTTGACCCATTAAATTTTATTCATTGCCGACAGATCTATCACTGCTAATAATTTATTAGTCTTGCCCACCTTCTGTCAATTTAAAAGTATTTTTCTGTGTTTCTTGTCGAAACACGATGCATTCAGTTAAGTCGTATGAATTTCTCAAAAAAAAAAAAAAACATATCCTTTTTTCCTCCTTAAAATTGTTTTTCCTTAATCTGTTAATCAGATGGATTGACTTAGAAATGAAAGAGGAGAAGGATATTGTTTACCTGTAAAAAGGTACAGCTGAATTTATACGTGATTTTTAGACAAGTGAATTAATTTGATCCTGAAATAATATAATAATTGAAGAAATGTATAATACTTAGCCTTGAAATATAGATGAAAACAGCAGAGATGACAATTCCGAGACAGTGTTTCCGGGCACAGCAATAATGAGATCAAAAAAGTAAGAAAGTAAAATTGTATAAAATTTTGTATTAATAGAGTGTGAGTTTAGCCATCAAATTCGTGTCATTTACAATGATAACTGAGCTCACTAGTTATAATTATGTCTAGGGAAGGAAGTCCTAGGATCATGTCCTCCTTTAATGTCAATTATGAGGGTCATTGATGAATACGTAACGATGAACATAAATGTCAAATACTCTGTAACGGACCGTCGCTCTTAATGCTGCAGAATATTCCCGATTAAATGTTACCGGGCGCAGAGTATTTAACACACCTTTATGAACGTTATCCTTTCTGGTGACAAGCTGAATGGTTGCATTCGGTCTTCGGTCATTCATGTATTGGGTTTCACGTGTCCTCTCTTTAGACGTCCACGTGTCATATCATATTTTACCCTATACAGATAGTCTCCCTGCTTTTCGGTGACATAACTTTGTGTTATCGGGAAGTTAGTAGAAACACCTTTTTGTGACATAACTTTGTGTTATCGGAAAGTTGTTAGAAATACATTTTTGGCGGGAATTACTATATCTCCCTCTGAAAGTTCCTGACAATTGATTAGACGTACGTCTCTCCGTATTTAATACCCCGAACATGCGTCATCCCATGATTCAGTACAACTTTTACCGAGTATCGAGGTAATCATAGCCGTGAATTTAGCCGCCAAAATTTTACATATACATTTTTTTCCTTTGTGTTTCATAATTTCTCGAGCTCCTGATTTACATCTTTGTTTTCCATTCTTTCTCTAGTTCTCTTCAAACACAAAATATTTTCCTTCTTCTTTTTCAATGGCTTCTTTCTCTAAGCATGCTGGTTCTACAAAGAACAAAATCGAGGACTTTGTTCCTCCAACGCTGGGTTCCATCATCACAAAAAAACTCAGTACCACAAAGGACCTTGAAGAGAAATTCCCTATTGTTAACCTTCATACATGGGCTGTTAGTAAGTACCCTTCTTCCATTCTTCCTTCCAGTATTCCTATTGTGAAGGAAGACTGTCGTTGCCATGAGTTGGATATCATCGCTCCTGATCTATCGGAGCGAGTGACCCTTCCCAAGGAAGGTTTTACATACTTTTACACATATCCTTTTACTTTGGGTGCGTTTTCTTTGAGTGGAGATTTTGATTCCGTGATTGTATAGTTTTGCCTTCGCTACCAAGTGTGTTTGGCACAGGTAAGTCCTTCGGTGTAGAGGACGGTCGCCTGTCTTTGACCATTGTGCCAGAAAACTGGACAAGAGCTAACCTTAGCTCATATGATGAATCTCTATTTCCCCAAAATCATCCGCGGGGGAATGATAAACCGTTGCAAACGCGGTCACCATGCTTTGCTATCTAGCATGAATGGTGACAACGACCGTGGGAGGATGGAACGGTTCGTTGTAGTTGCCACCAATGATATCATTACGACAACATCTTCATCCTTTCCAGCCGTTTGGGACCGCACTCGTAAGCTCTTTGTTTTGTATTTCTTTTTACTAGATATTCCTTTGTGGTCATATTAACTTTTCACCCTTTGCACGTTTCAGCAACTCGATGGATACCATCGGTGGTGGAAGTTTTGGACCGGTGGGTTCAAAAGATCTTGGACGTCATAACGCCCGAAACTCGTTTATGAAAAGAACTGGCCCTTAAATACGGGTGGAAGGCCAAAACTCATGGTAATTTTAATATACCTTGCTTCCATTATGAAGAACTTGCTTGAACCCTTCTGACTTGTTCATGAAATTAGGTCTACCTGCAGGATTTGTTGTTGTCCCCGATGAGGGCGTTTTGGCTTATCCAGCTGATGCAACGAAGCTGCTTCAGGAAACACTTACTCGAACAGGTATCTCCGGGCCTATTGCAGGCGCGAGCACTTCTTTACTGAGTCCCCGGCTGGTGGATAAGCAACCAAAGAGAAGACGTTCCTCCCCGGCAGGGGAAAAGAATAAGAGGGAGAAAACTGATGCCCCCTAGTCATCTTCGATGGCGATGACGACTGGTCCTCCTTCCGGGCCGGTCATAGACACCGTGATGATTGATGATGATGATAAAGAAGATGTTGATGAGGGAGCTTCTTTACATAGAAGGCGACGATCCTCATCATATCAACAGGATGCTCGACCTGTTGAGATAGTTACACCAACTGAAGACAATGTCTCGACACTTTGGGGAGAATCTAATTTGGTAGAATATGCCAACTCCCATTTTCGGGCCCCAATTATTGTAACCGGTGATGTGGGGCTGAGTACCGGGTCTTTGCAGTCTTTGGTTGGCGAATATCCAACAGCCGACACTGCATTTGATGCAGCTGCTTCTCATTCTTCAACTCCATCAGCTTCATCTCCACCTTCACGAACACCGGGAACTGCTACATCACTTTCATCTTCATCTACTCTTCCACCAGCAGTTGTTGCGTCACCTCCATCGGCCGCACCTGACCATGAAGAATGTGTTCCTCTTCCACAGTCCCCAGTTCAGCTTTTCCTTTATTTTTCCCATTTTGTACTTTTACCATTTTGGCACATTCTTGTAAATAAAGACATATTTTTGCTCAAGTGTCGTTTGAGTCTTACTTTAGTTTGAATATCCATGCAAGTCTTTAATCTTTGAATTTGCTCAAGAGTTCTGCACACGTTTTCCTATTCGTGCTTTACTATG